TATTGTGACTGACCAATACTCAAGTATTCAATTATCTTTAATATCTTCTGTAAAAAATATTATGTTAAAAATTAAAAATTAAAAAAAAATGCCAATGCCATTTATAATGAAATAAATATGGATTTGTATATTTTTTGGAATAAGTCGTGTAAAATTATTAAACTTTTATTTAAAATACTAATGTTTATATTTATTTTTTTTTTTTTTTTGTTAAATATTCTTTGAACAATTAAATTAGAAGATATACGATTTGATTTATGAAATAAATAAAGAAAAACACTTTTTTTATACTAAGTAGCATTGCAATTTAAGCTGTTTTACCTAGGTTAAAATAATTGAAAAACTTAGGTTAAAATTTTGGATTGTTTTAATTTAGAATACGAAACAATATGAAATTTAGCAGAAATTTGGTATCTCAATGAAGTGTCACATATCATTTTTCGTTTTTAGTATTTATTAAGTCTATTTATGAGACCAATGAGGTTAATGTAATTGTTTTATAAGAAATTAATTTATGTTCTTTATTTGATGATTAATAGTAAAAACCAATTTGTTTAGAATAAAAATCAAACGTGACCATAAAATTTGTTTTGTGTTATAAATTGATTTTGACAAATTATTTTAAATTTAGAGTAACGTACAACATTTCAACTATGTAGATGTTAATATTATTTGTATTATTTTATTTGTTCATTAAATTTCTTTTGACGATTTGCCAACAATTCTTCTTTTGGAAACCTCGGTTCTTGGCGCCTTCATTTAAAATATTTTTTGTTACAACTTTGAAGTTTATATAAACAGGCAGTTTGAATTTTTTTAAGTAAAAATAATCTATAATATTTTATTACATAACATAATTTTTAACGATTTAGTTTACATTTTTTATTTAATTCTTAATATTGTTCAAGATTTTTGTTTAATTTAATTCTTCTCCAACAGTTTCATTGATTATCATAATGGTTTTGATATATATTTTTCTTTTAATTACTTAAGATGCATCATAAAATAAACATGCTATATTGAGATTCTTATAATTGGTATTTAACCAGAGTTATAAAAATAATTTTATATATTGTATCTTAAAAATATTTTGAATATAAACTTTTTTAAAAATAATTTATTACCAGGGGTCAGTATAAAAATTCTATCTTGATGTTAGTTCATATAAATATAATGGAACTGTAAAATTTATGGGAGATAATTATTTAAAAAACTTCTATAATTATAATTATAAAAATTCTATAATTATTAGTATAATTAAACATTTGATTTTTTGAAATACTGTGAAATCCTATATCTTTATAGATTTACCCGTATAAATACTAATTTAAGTATATTTGGAATCTATTTTACCACGATTGAGAAGTATGGTAAGTATAAAAGATATTTCGATTCTATGAAATACATTTCGATATTCGTAGATATACGTATACATAATAGGTACCTTTTATTAAGCGTAAATTACTTATTAAGTAATTTATTAAAAGTATTTATATTTATAATGTTTATTTTAATACACTCCTCCGATATTTTAGCTTATGAATAAATAATAGAAAATACATAGATAAGGTTTGATACATAACTAAGATTAGTTAAAAGTTTTTAAATTTTAACTAGTAATATTTTATTCTCTAACGCTATATTTTAAACTATAAATTTACATTGCGATTAACTATTTATTTAAATATTGATTGTACAATTTAATCTTACAAATTATTCTTTCAAGTTTTATGAGCATGGTTAAGTAAATTATTTAAAAAATATTTTCGGATAAATTCTAATTTTATGTATATTCCTTTTAAAAAATGAATAAGATATATTCTTCATATTTTTTTGTACTTATAGAAGAATATATATCTTATACATCGACCGTCAACCGATGTAATATTTTTATTATACTAATGCATCAACATCTATGATCCTTACGAGTTCATATCATTTTGTTAGTATTTAGTTCTATAGTTTATTATAAATTATGGGCTATGGATTGTAGTCTTTTAATTTTTACAGTAAGAATTCATTTTTAATAAAAATATTAAGTTAATACTTAAAAGATATAAGACAAAATATATAATAATGCTAAGAAGTTTTATAAAATAATTAAGTTTCTGTAAAAATACTTATATTTTTTAAACTCTTTAAATTGTTCCAGTTTTAAAATTTAGAAGCTTGTTTAAGTTTTATTGTAATGTCTGAAAAATGAATTAAATAAGTTTTAAAGCATAAAATTTGTGTAGAAAATTGAATTTTAGATTGGTTTTATTGAAATATCAGTGATCAGTAGATCAGTAGTCAACACTTTAATTAATTAAATGGAAAGGGTACATAAAACATTTTATGTATCAGAGAGTATATTTTAAAGAGTATTTTTGTTGTACATAACAGCACAACAGATTGTTAAAATTTATTATAAAATCGTACATTTTAAATATTTAAATAAAATAAAATAATCTTGAGATACTTTTCATCGTTTTTATTTTTTAAGTTAACCCAGGGGAAATGTATACTTTTTACCCCGTTGAATGCAGCTCTATATAAAGCTCACTGTTTCGTAGATCATTTTACTAAAAGGTCTCTCTTAGTTCGTCATTACATTCTTGTATCTTAAAGATCCCCACTAATTCAATAATATCATGGTGGGGCATATTTAAGGAGGGAGAAGAGAACATAGGATGGATTTGGAATTACACATATAGAACAACAACAGTCCAGGATCAGCTGCTATCGCTGTCAAGTGGTGCCATTCAGTTTTGGTATATTTTATTTGGAGGTAATTATATGTTTTGCTTTAATTTTAATCAAATTTTATAATATTTATAGTAAAAGGTAAAGTAAATATAAATTATATATTTTTTGAATATTTACACAAATTATTGTTTGATTAAAAAAAAAATGTACATGTAATTGTAATTAAATTTTACGTAAATAACAGAATTGATACTGATATGATATGTATGTTAATAATATTTTTAATAATTTTTAATAATAATTTTTTTAATACAACTAATTCGATTTGATATTTTTAATTATTTTATAAAACGCCATTTTATTATTTAATTGATTTCTACCATCTTTTGATGCAATAATGTTTACTGCTTTAAATATTTTTAATCCACGAATTATGGTTAAAAATAATTCATGCCATTCTAGTTATTTATTGTTTTTAAACTTGAGATTGTTGTGAAAATTAATTTTATGCTATTTTCAACTTGATTTTTGTCTACTAATTTATTCTTAGTATTTTTTATATGATTTATTAGCAATTCATATTTTTATGTAATTTAAAACATTGATCACATTTTTTTTACCAAATATTTCCTATTTTCTGATGACCTAAATGTAAATATAGTTTAATTTTGTCACCAAGTGTGGGTTTATGCAAAACTACATTATGTTCTTAAATATTTTTTTATTTTAAACTTGGCGTTTACATCATTTTTCAAATCACAAATACTGCAACACGATACTATACAAGTAAATTTATTGATACTAGGTAAATATTAATAATTAATAATACATTTTGTTTAGTAAAAGTGGACTTAGTGATAAAATTGATGTTAAAACGATTTATAATAAAAAATAAGTTTTAATAATTATTTCTTAATTTATTTTCGTATAAATGTTTGTATTAAAAACTGTATTATATTTGTGTAAGATAATAATTATCAAGACACTATGTTTTAAATGATTGATCCGTAGAATTTGCATCTTAATTATGGCGTTATTGAAATAAAAACAAATTTAGCAACTGAAAAATTAAAAATTAATGGTGGCGGTGAGGTGTTTGGTCGGAATTTGGGTCGGTTGAGTGCATACCATAACGGCGGCGTACGACTATTTTTAAACGTCCGCTGCGTGGTGCCGCGCGGTGGTATCGGTTTACTCACTGTAAATGGAGGGTACCAGACTATTTTATTTTTTATTTTATACTTCGACATTAGCAACTTTGCTATTTTTGTCCGATTCCACAGAAGATGATTTTTCTTTCAAAATAGATAGTAGCAGAAAATAAGAAGGGGTTTAGTGACTACCTTTCTAAATTACTTTTAGGATGGTCATTTATTTACTTAACCATTTTTTAAATAGTTATTAATGTCTATATTTATTTATAAATATTTACAGTAAAAATATCAATTTTTTTACTTCGCTAAAAAATTCATGTTTGTATTAAATTTATTCAATGATTTGTTAAGCTCTTGGTAGCATAATTTCATAAATTATATTAACATTATTGTATGCCAACACATTGTTTTAAAAAACCTTTTCAATAATATAAATTGGCTTTCATTAACTTTTATTATTAAATAATTATAAATATTATAATATAAAAAAAATAAAAGAAAATGTAACCGCAATATATGATGTTATACATAATTATATAAACATAACATGCATTTGAACTTTTTAAGTCTTTAAGCAAATAATTTGAGAAGATTTTGATTTGATTTAATAAAAACTATTTAAGATTTATAATTCATAAATAATAAAAAGAAAAAACTAAATATTAGTTTGGTGTTTATAGGTTATTTTGTTGATTGTAAATGATTGTAAATAATATCTTCCATTTACGATAAATTTTTTTATTAAAGTTATAAAGAAAAGCATAGTATCCCATTCGAAACTAAATTCTAAAAATAATGAAAATTATAATTACTCAAAAATAACTTGACCTATTGAGTATTTTAGTTCTAATTATAACTGACAAATAATATCTAACTAAAATAAAATACAACAGTTATGATTTATAAATGTTACTTAATGTTATTAAATAATCGTATTGATATAGATTTAACTTAAATGTATTAAAGTATAATTTATATTTATATAAAAAGTATAATTAAAAGAAATAATAATAAATGTATAGATTGATCCCTGAAATTTGTGTTAGGACGTGATTATAAAATCCTATACATGAGTACTTAAAAAATATATTATATATAATTTTTGATTCATTATAATTTATAACATTTATATTAGCGGGGTAGAAAAAAAACTTCAAAATGGACGCAATTAAGAAGAAGATGCAGGCAATGAAGATGGAGAAGGATAGCGCCATGGACAAGGCCGACACTTGTGAAGGCCAGGCCAAGGATGCAAACCTTCGTGCAGACAAAGTAATCAATATTGATGACACAAACATTTAAATTTAATAACAATGGCTTTAATTTAGGTGAATGAAGATGTAAGAGAATGTCAAAAGAAACTGACTCAAGTAGAAGTTGATTTGGATACAAACAAAAATAAGTTGGAAGAAGCCATTAAGCAGTTGGAAGATAGAGAGAAGGCTTTGACCGCGGTAAGTTAATAACAAATATTAATAAAACAAATGTTGATGGATGGTTGATGGTTTGATTGGATTTGATTAAAGGCTGAAAGTGAAGTTGCCGCTTTGAATAGAAAAGTTCAGATGATTGAAGAAGACCTCGAAAGATCTGAAGAAAGGTCTCAAGCAGCTGCATCGAAATTGGCTGAGGCTTCTCAAGCAGCTGATGAATCTCAACGGTAGATGTCACGAATAAATTAATAAATTACATATTTACTAAAAATATTTTTTATTAGTATGTGCAAAGTACTTGAAAACCGTAGCCAGCAAGACGAGGAGCGTATGGATCAATTGACAAACCAATTGAAAGAAGCTCGTCTTTTAGCTGAAGATGCTGATGGAAAATCTGATGAAGTAAATTCATCATAGCATACTTTTAGTTTTATATTAACTAATAAATTTTATAAAATTGTAAAATTTAAGGTTTCGAGGAAATTGGCTTTCGTTGAAGATGAACTTGAGGTAGCTGAAGATCGTGTTAAATCTGGGGACTCGTAAGTAAAATTTGATTAAAGCAATGTATGATATTACTTTCATTTAAATTTATAGCAAAATCATGGAGCTGGAAGAAGAATTGAAAGTTGTAGGAAACAGCTTGAAATCATTGGAAGTTTCTGAAGAAAAGGTATATTAGTCAGAAAAGAGTTGAACTATAAAATGTTATATTTATAAAATAATAATATAATATTATATATACATTTTTTTAGGCTAATCAACGAGTGGAAGAATACAAGCAACAGATTAAACAACTAACAGTAAAATTAAAGGAGGTAAACATAGATATAGATATAGATATAGATAGTCTTATAAATATTATTATTGTATTAAAATTAAAAATTTAAAGTATATATATTTTTTTTTTATAAAAACCTTTTTTCGTTACAGGCTGAAGCTCGTGCTGAATTTGCCGAGAAGACTGTTAAGAAATTGCAGAAGGAAGTTGACAGACTTGAAGGTAAATCTTGTGTCCAATTTTTAAAAAATAAACTGTTGAATAAAATTATGTTTATATTATTAATACATGTTTTAGCTTAGCTCAATAAAATATGTGCAGCTACACATTTACGCTTTATTATAATTTTTTTATTATAATAATTTAACATTGTGACGATTGGGGCTTTATCAATTGAGATTTTACGTTTTTTTTTGTACATTAATGTGTTGTTTTTCAGATGATCTTTTCAAAGAGAAAGAAAAGTCTAAAGAAATCACGGATGACTTGGATTCAACATTTGCTGAACTCACTGGCTACTAACCAAATACAAATTATGCATAGCCTTCTCTTGTTTTTTCTTTTTTTTTTTTTTTATGTTCGAGTTTTGTCATAAACTAATGTAGCTTTTTTGTAAAAATAATGCTTTTAAAATTTTTTTTCGTTTAATATGTATTGTCTCCAGTTGTTGCTGTACAAATTCGCTTCTATAACTGCCAGGTACAAAAATAGTTTAATATTTAAATAAACATTGAAGTATGATTTTAAGTATTAGTTTTTTATTCAACGTAATTAATTAAAATTTTATAACTTTTAACTTAAATATATATTTGTAATTAATTGGCATATCTAATCTGATTGTAACTAGATAATTCATCTTAAAAAAAAATTATTATTGTTTTTAATTTCATATAAATTTTTTTATGTTCAACTTAAAAAATATGTGTGAGTTTGAATACTCGTATAAATATTAAATTTAATCATTCTTCAATGTTTTCGAACAATGCGAATAAAATATTTGTGTTTTAAAACTAAATAAATAACATTTTGATCACATTTGTGTACAGTTAATTATTTTAACACATTTATCATTAATGTTTTAAATTATTTTATATTTTTATAGTCAAACTTAATTTTTTGACTTGTTTTTTACATATTATGTTCATTAAAATTATTTATTACTTATTTATAATGAAAATTTTACAAATTTTCAGATGAACTTGGCCTTAACAAAGACCGATACAAGTCTTTGGCTGATGAAATGGATTCCACTTTTGCTGAATTGGCAGGATATTAATCCTCTAGAATTAGCCACGTTTTCAAAGGAATTTATATTCAAAGTAAATAATTACCCAATGATTATATAAAATAATTTTACCATCATCAGTTCTATTAATAAACCAAAAGAATATTACAATAAATTATTGTTAGATTATTTATTATTTGAGCCATTGCATATATATATATATATATATAAATGTATATTTATATATACATAAATATGTTACGTGTGAGACATTAACAAATTAACAGTTATAATTTTATCTGTATTCTAGCTTTATTTTCATCATAGTATTAATGTACAATAATTTTCTAGTCTTATACTCTAAGTCACCTAGCCTTTATGACATTATAATACTTATTTATACTGCAAATGTACACATTATGACTTAAATATTGTTTTTGATTAATTTATAAATAATATAAGCATATTATAATACTGATGTCCTTAGATGTTCAATATATTATATTGGTATTCATGAAATTCATGTGAACATAAAATATGTGAATCAAATTCAATGAACATAAAATATTTTTACATTGATCATGTAAATTAAACTTCCTAGATATTTATATGATTATTGAACATCAAAAAGTATAAACATATGCATATATTCAAAATATTAATATAATGTTAATTAGTTAATTAATTTTTTTAGGCTTATGTATAAAGTACCTATGGTTATATTTAATAATTATAGGTGTTAATTGTTAAGAAATATAATACATTACTTCAAAAGGTAGGTGATTTTGAAGATTAATCTATATATTTCAACTTCAAATCAAACACTTCAATTTACTTCGGTAATAATTGGAAAATTGATAATGCATGTCTTTTGTGCTAACAGTTGTTAGTATCTAACTTGTTCGTGTATTTTTAATTATTATTCATGTAAATAATGAATTAATACGAGTCAAACTAGTCATATAGAAACAATTGTTGGAATTGAAACGTTAATTAAAAAATTACATATTTAAACGTTCAAATTCAACATGCGTTCATTAATTTATTTAAAATGTATTGTTGTTTATTTGATAGAAATCTTGTTTATTTTATTAATATTATTGAGTGAATAAACATGTTTTTTTTTTGGTTGATGAATATGAGTGATTTTTGTTGTACAATTATTGGCTCACCTTCTGCAGTTGCTAACCAAGTTATATAGCTATATAGATAAAATACTGCAATTGCACAGTTTTTATCTGCTGAATGTTGATGTTTTTATATAATTATTTATTTAAGTACGTTTTTAGGTAGATAAATAAATTTGTGCTTAAAACATAAAATATTTAGTCCATGTTATTGTTTAGTTTTTATGTATGAAAATAATTTTCAAGTTTACCTATTGTCTTACAATAGAATAAACAAATATTCTTATGAACAAACATACCATATATTTATAAAATAATCTCAAGTATATACATATATGATATAATATATATATTAATTGAATATAATGTATCCGTCTGATTATTAATTTTAATCTAGTATAATTTTACACTAAAATAATCACAAAAACTATATTTTTGATATTTTAATACACAGTGAAGATTTTTACAGTATACAATTTAATTGGAGTTTATAGATACATTTTTTGTTCAGTACTCACGTTCGCAGGTATTATTTTTAAGCATATTTTAAATATATTTATGTAAAAAAGTTGAATTCACTATAATGCATAAAATATATATTTAGTATTAAAATATTGATAATATACATAAATATATAAACATAATTTATTTTAATAAAATGTCTATAAAATATGAGAAAATAAAAAATTTAATAGTAATAGTAGTAATATAACAAAGTATTTAATCAATTATTGTGCAATATATAATAATATAATGTTATATGTTATAATGTTATAATAATATAATGTTATAATGTTATAATGTTATAACATTTATATCTTATTAACTGTTATTATATAATAATTTAAAACTATGAAATATTATTTTATTCGGTTGATCAAAAATGGATCGAATTCAAGATTTTTAAAATGTTTATTATTTATTACGGTTGAAGCTTTTGGAGAGGTATCGTGGTCAATGACTCTCAATAAACGTTGTTTTCAACCGATTATCGTTATATTTACACAAATTTTTCAAATGTGTATTATGATTTAATGGTTTGTATATTATATATATAAAAAAAAATAATAATAATAAATTACAAATATATTTCAATAATGCAATTCAAAAATTCCCCATAGAAAAATCTTTTATTTAATTTAATTTTATTTAAATTTATTTGTTTTCATCAGAATATTAATAATTATCATATAAAATACGAGTTTTGTAGTTCAATTTATAGTTTTAAATTAGTTTCAGCTTACATAATATCTTTAATAATAAAAAAAGAGAACACTTATTATATGTTCAAAACCGTTAAATAATTTTTTTAAATATATATATATATATATGGATAGGTAATCAACGAAGAGGATGTTATTATTTTTAAAATTTGTTTTAATTCATCATTCTATGTCTTTTTTTTGTTTTGAAATAGGTATTTCAATTAAATAAGAAGTTTTAAAGCATTCATCGTCAAGGAAATTAGTTTGTGAACAGGGAATTTGACACTTTTTACGTTGATTGATAGTTTTGTCATTTATGCATTGTTTTGTATTGGTTTTTGTTGGTTTATAACGTACTGACGAAAGTTCAATAAATTGTTTTGCGAACCTTGGTAGCTTTTGTATTGTACTTTTTGGACAATTTAATAAAGTGTTAGTTGAGTTGGATGAATTCTCGGATCTGTCTTCTGCCTTTTTTGGAAATTGAACGTTATTTACATTTTCATGAACTCGACGAATGTTTATTAGTACATTTGTCCAATGAACATTTTGATGACCGATTTTTAAAATCGATTTAAACACTAAAAATAGTATCAATATATTATAGTAGTATAAAATATGTAACCTATTGACCGTATATTTTATTTACTTACATGACATTGTTCTTAAATTACGTGCAATGTTCAGATATAAATTGGATTTATTTTCCGGTATAGTATAAAATTTATTATTTTTGATTATTATCCGTATTAGTTTCAGTTCTTTTAAGCCAATCTAATTTTAGATTCTTACATCACATATGTTTTTTACACTTGGACCATCAAAATTCTTTATGTTTTTATGAGAGAGTAATACATTTTCCAAGTTAAAAACGTCTACTTCAAGTTTATTGCATCATTGTTTTCAATTTATACTACATTATTTTTACTCATAGCTAATATACTACAATATGTTTTCTAGATGTTTAAAATATATAATGATTATTTAGGTATGTACGATTAAAGGAAATACGTAATGAATTTTACTAGTTATTTAATATCTATTATTTTTTTATTTAAGAATTATAAAACAAAATTAAGCATCAGTACTTTAATATATTAGTAAAGAACATTATTGTAGCACAGTTCAAACGGTATAACATTGGTTTTATTTTTATTTCATTTTAAACACAATAACGATTTTGTTTTTAGTTTTTCATACACTGATTTAATCAGCTTAGTAATACACTTTTAAATTATAAAAAATGATATATTTATAAATGTATATGAGTTTACTGCATTCATGAACCATAGGTATTTATTATTATATAATATCAGCGGAGCGTTCATGCAGCGTGTGATTGAACGACGAACCCCTACGAAGAACAATGTAAATATTTTTAAATTTTTTCCTCTCAAGTGCGCATTACCTAATAAATGTCTCTTTGAATAAAAAAACAATATTTATTATATTTTTGGCTCACGTATAATGTAGTTCAGCAACGGCGCAACGTTTTTCGGAGTTTAGTTTGATTTTTTTTTATACAGCGATAGACCCCTTTTACAAGAATATATATTCTTAGGAATATGTTACGAAAGAAGTGGACTAATAATAACCCAGTTTCTTAGAAATAATTCTCATCTCTCTTCTGCCTCTATTTCCTATTTTTCGCGAATAATAAATTGTACATTAATAAATAATTATTAAAAAAGTTGTATCCATCCTAAAAAGTATTCTTTAATAATTATACTAATACAAATATTAACAATAATAATAATAAAAATAAAAATATTATACTATAATATGTACCAATATAGAATATATAATTATGATGTTTTATGTGCTCTGAACAGTTCTTTCAGAATTAAAACTGGAATATTCTGAGTGTATCAGTAAACTAGATATAAAAAAAAAAAACAAAATCAAATTTAATTTTAACAATAGTGATAGATAAGAAATTATCAATAGTTATTTCAGTCGATGCCTTTTCTCAAAAAATGTTTTAATAAA